AAATTTAAATAAATTTTAACATTTTTTAAAACTTTAATATTTGTTTAATATAAATTATACAATGTACTATTTAATATTCTTCATAAAATTCTTTAAAATTTTAAAAATAAGTTTAAATAGATTTTGTAACTTTAACATGTTTAAAACATTTTATATAAATTACACAATTTAATATTATACAATTTAATAGATAAATATATATATTCAAATAAAACTGAACTTGCAGGGGGAGAAGGCAGTCTGTAAGAATAAATACAAATCATCAGGAAAATGCTGAGCAGAAGGACTGACAGGGACACGGATTAAAACGTCATTAAGCTAGATTACGTAAAACGGTTTGGTGCCAGGATAGAGATGGGTCCCTGGACGGAACAGAACTGAAATCTCAGAAGTAGACCCACATATACGTGTGAATTTAATGTGTGACCAAAGGAACACATTTAAATGGCAGATAATTGACATCACTGGCTAGGGGCTCAGGGACGAATCACCACGTCCAGGAGAAACCACAGCGGAAAGGTTAAACCACAACAGAAACAGGAGAAAATACAGGTAAATATTTACGTGAACTTGGAGAAAAGGAAGGCCTTCCTAACCATACCACTTTTTTGTGTAAAAACTGTAACATTTAAAAAAAAAAAAACAGAACACCTGCTAGACTTGACTACATAATAATTTTACCACCTACCAATAATCACAGTGTAAGATAATAAACTAGGGAGGGTGCCAGGCAGGTGAGTTTACTGTGCCCACTTGACAGATGGGACAACTGAAGTTCGCAGAGGAGATGTGCTCCACGCGTGGCCACCCCAGCTGCTTCTCTTCCTGGGCTATGCCCCTCACAGGCCCAGGCAGAGCAGCCCAGAGATCCTAGTCCCCACAGTCAGCAGTGATGGGGCCCAATCCCGGCTCAGCCACTCAGGGGCTGCACACGAGTGTGGGCCAGCCTGGGTGTCTTGAACGGGACATCACATGCATCTCCAGGGACAAGGAAGGAAGATCCTGCGAGTAAGCCTCCTGCCCTTTGTAAGGGCTCAGAACCTGTGCGGGGGAGGAACCTTGGCTGCCCCTTTAGGTGTCTTGTGCGGACAAGCCGTTTAGGATGTGCAAACACCAAAGGGTTGGAAGTCCTGAGCCTCAGCTCTGCCTCCACGGCCAGGGATGTTATCACAGATTTAATTTAGCGACTGGGTACTTAACTATGTCCCAGGCACCGTCCTATTCCCTCTCTCTTGGTCTTCCTATTGAATCCTTAAACACACAGGGAGGCTGACGCGGGGAGGGGGTCTGACGTGGGGAGGGGCTGACGCGGCCATCCCGAGAGAGAGAGAGAGAGAGAGAGAGAGAGAGAGAGTCAGCAAGCTGGGAGCCCCCTGGCCGGGCAGGTGGGACTTACCATTGAAAGGAGGACCAGGGCGGGGAAGAAGCCCATGATGACATAGCAGAGCAGCTCCACCAGCTTGTACCTGGCAGGAAGACAAGCCATCTGGGCCTCGGGACAGCCTCCCCATGAGGAACGGCAGACAGCTCCCCGCTCTGGGTAGGAGGGGACACCCCAACCAAAAGAGTGAGAAGAGCTCTGCCCTCTGCCCAGCACTCCTGGGCTCTGACTTCACCCAGGTACCCGCAGCAGACACTGGCAGAGCTGGGTGGCCCTGGGCGGATGTCCTGCCCTCGGGGCCGGGGTCTCCATGGGTGGGATGACAGGCCAGGGCTGTCCCCGCTGAGTACAGCACGCACACGGGCCCTCGCCGCGCCCGGGCCGGGGCCGTCATGACTGTGTGATCCCAGCACCTTTTCCCCGGGGGCCCAGGCAGCTGCCCTCCGTCCATCCCAGCGGCTGCACAGGCTGACACCGACTTGCCCTCCCTGGAGATTCCAGAAATCAGTTACTCCCCTTTGCTTCTATAGCCCTGTTTCTTTCCTCACTCGGTGGGACGGAAGTGAAGAGAGCCTGGAGCCTCTCCCCTCATCTGACAACCCAGCTTAGGGAAGGCGGGTAACACGTGACCCACAAGGTCTTTTTTAAAACCCCTTCAGGGGGCGCCTGGGTGGCTCAGTCGTTAAGCGTCTGCCTTCAGCTCAGGTCATGATCCCACGGTCCTGGGATCAAGTCCCGCATCGGGCTCCCTGCTCCGCGGGGGGCCTGCTTCTCCCTCTCCCACTCCCCCTGCTTGTGTTCCTGCTCTCGCTCTCTCTCTCTCTCTCTCTGTCAAATAAATAAATAAAATCTTTTAAAAAAATAAAATAAAATAAAATAAATAAAACCTCTTCAGATCGACCCTATGGGCTGTGGCTCTGGTGGCCATCCATGGGCCTGAGCCCCGGGACGCCGGGCAGAGCTGTGCCCTCATGCTTCGGGGTCATCCTGGGGTCTCTTCTCCCCAAGGGCAGAGAGGAGGTCCAGCCTACCTGAGCCCCGAGCCCCCCCACCCAGCCTTGGCTTACCGCTCATGGAAGAAGAAGACGTAGATGGTGCCCACCGAGGCCATGATCCAGACCAGCCAACGCATGTGGGAGGCCCAGGGGCCCAGTTCCCGAAGGTTCAGCCTGAGAGAAAGCCAAGGGCACAGCCTGAGGGGGGCCCCCTGGGATCCAGCCCCTCCCAGGAAGACTGACCCCAGAGCAGCCCTGCGCCCCACAGCTCTCAGGGTGGAGAGACAGACAGAGAAACTGACTGGAACAATAAGCAATGATTAGAGGAAAATTGGCAAAACGGACACCGTCCGAGCGCGAAGACAAAGGGCATCTCAAATGGGCAGAAGCATAAAGCCTGTGTGAGGGCAATCTGGCCGAATCTATCAAACCCGAGGTGTGCATGTCCAGTGACCCCGTCATTCCAGCCCCAGGGGTTAGCCAAGGAAATGCGGTCTCGTCCGCGCACAGAGGCACAGAAGAGGACATTCATCCCAGCCCTGGTCCAACAGGACACACAGGAAAGCACCCAACTATCTACCAGAAGGGGAAGGTGATATAAGGATGGTATTCGTCTGTGCTGGTTATCAATAGACTGCCTCTCGGCTCCGAATTCACCCTTCCCGCCTGCTCCAAGCTAACGGAGCTGGGCCACGTGCCTTCTTCCTTCCCGGCAGGCATGACGTTAAGCTTTGTCAGGCGAGGGCAGTGAAGAGACTCTGCGGGAGGAGAGCTTCTTCCTTCCCGGTGCCCGCGGTTCTCCCACCAGGTTCTGAGAGCAGGCTTCTCTCTGCTGCTGGGCTGAGGCGGTTTCCCCGCGGCTTTCTCCAGCATTTGGCCACAGCGTGTGCTCTAGCCGTGGATGCAGGGGACAGTGGCGGTACAGGGGACAATGCAGGCCTGTGCCTCAGGCCGGGCAGCTGCTCCTGCACCCCCTCTTCAGCCCCACACACCTGCACACTGGGGGCCCCCCGTGGGGACCCCTGCCCAGCAAGCTGCCTGACCTCCACCCTATACACTATCTGCACCAAAACGCTCGGGGTTCCTGCAGGGGCCTCTCAACGGCTGCTTCCAGGAGCACCCAGCAACCAGCAGCTTCCCCGGCACGGAACAAGGGATATCGCTCGGGGCCTCCAGTGGCCAGCCTCCCCCAGCGCCCCCAGAGGACTGATTTCCAGCAAGCCACACCCATGGCCCCCTCCAGCAGCCTCTCTGTCATCCTGTGGGCAAAGGTCAGGCCCTTTCGGACGTGGGGGGACCTCTGCCCTGGATGGAGCGGGGCTGGTCGTAGCTGTCCCTTATTTCTGCCACTCTGTAGCTTTCCTAGATTTGTCTTTGATGCTCATCAATCAATTCTCCACTCCTCCAATCTCCTATGATCAATCCTTTATACCAGATGTTCCATGTTCAAATCATTGTATGGTTTCTGTCCCCCAACTGCACCCTGCCAGATACACATGGGCACAGCAGCTTGGAAAACAGAACAATCTGGACTTTGGTGCGGACATCTCCCGGACATGCTGTGTGTGGCGGTGGGGAGTGAGGGGAGAGTAACGGGACTGTATTATTTGCACACGTGAAGAGAGATGTGTAAATGCGCAGCACACCAATCGGAGCCCCCCTGTCGAGTGGGTAGTGGGAGTTCCATCTAGAAAGGGACAGTTGATGATGGCAGTGCTTGAGAAGAGGGATCCTTTTTCACTTTTTTCCGGAGTGAATTTCTTGAATGAGACCACCTTATATGCAACCTCTGCCCACCCCGTGTCCCCCAAAAAGCAATCGGCTCTGAGTCCAATTGTTATTATAAAGAAGTTAATTTATACTGGAAAGCTTAAAGGTAGAAAAAAATAACCCGACTCATTACCCGGAAGAACCATCAGTGAAGATCATTCTAAACAGCTCTCCAAACAGACACAAAATAGGCCAATGGGTAGGAGGACGAGTATAAAATGGGATGGGGGGGAGGGGTAAGGGGAGGGAGTCTCGAACTACACAGGTCATTTCTTACAAATATCACATTGAATTTCAACTTGACTTTAACAGAAGAAAATGAACGCTCCCCCGCCCCCAAAAAGTGTGCTGAATTTCAAACAAATATTTCTGCTCCTCTCTTTCTACTATGCCAGAGGCTTTCAAGCATCTTTTACACCCTTTAAGTAAAGATTGTATGCAGGAATCTTACGTGTAAGTCTAATCTATCAAAAATAAACATCAAAAAAATAGGGTTTTCTGATTGAGGCAAGGATGGAGGAACCCACAGTCATTCACACCCCCACCCCTCCATGGTCATCTGGGAACCTCCGGGGTTCTGCAGAAAACGGCATGAAAACCAGAGCCATTCAAAGAAAAATACCCACCAAATGATTTTATACCACCTTGTCCCGTGTCCCCCTTTCCCACGCACCCAAGTGCCCAGCTGGAAAACCGGTCACCAAGCTCCTCCGTCTACGTCCTCCCGCACGTCCGACCAACACCCACGTTCGGCCAACTCTTCCTCCTAAAAAGGTTCGCAAACCAGGACACGTCACCTGCACCCCTCATTCACAGTTGTGGCTCATTCCCGTGTCAGTACTGGGACAGTCAACATCTGTGCTCCCTGTGGGACCCTAAGTCCCATGAGGAGAGAGTGTCTGTACCTCTCCGTCAGTCACAGCTGGGGATAAAGACTAGAAACCCAGCCATTAAATCAACAGAGTGGAGGATAGTCAGGGGACTGCTTTAGAAATCCACGTCAAAGAGAGTTACTGCAGCTGAGCACAAAACTTGACTTGACTATACCTGGCTGCATCCGAAAGGAAACCTGAGATGACCTGGCCCCTGGCAACTGCAGGTGATGCCTAGGGCCCACCTGGGGCCGACCACAAGTGGCCGCGTGGAAGGAGCTCCCTCCCGTGGCTCCTGGTTTCGCTCTCCTGCTCCTGGCCTGCTCCAGTGGCCTCCCCACAACCCACTCACCCAAGACCTGTGCTTATTCTAGAAGCCTCCATACATACGCCTGCCCACTTGGCATCTGACGGCCAGAAGCATACCAGTTTTGGGAAGAGAAGCAAGTCCCCTTCTCTCCCAAAGTCCAGCTGGGCATGGGGCTTGCATCTGCCTGCAACCCCAGGGGGGACCCGGCAGCAGGGCTGGTTTCGGAGGGGAGGCTGGCCCAAGAAACCTGGCACCCCTCACCCCCTCCCACTGTCCATGAGTCAGTCTACTCAGCTGCCTGCAAGTGTCTTTTCGATCTGTCACTCCTCTCCCTTGACTCCCATGGCCACTCCTGGGGTCCAGGCCACCACCGCTGCTCCCCTAGGTCCTGGGCCAGCCTGTCCTCGCACCTCTGCTCCCATCAGTCCAAACACTAAAACGACATCAATATCCTGCTTTGAAGCCCCATCACCCCTAAAAACAGACCAAACAGCCTCCCATCTATACTCCGTTTGCCTCTACCCTTGTATGAGACGTGGGCACCATGCCCAGCCTGCCCAGGAGCGTGGACACCCGAGCTATGGTCACGAGGGCCCTGTCCAGCAGGGAGGATGGACGACTCCATGGGTTTCTCCAGACGTATGCTGTGTGGAAGCAGCAAGAATCCAAAAGAACGGGGACTCCACTAACACAAAAGAAGAAATCAGGCCTAACTGTCATATGTCAGAGCTGCGGTTACCTTGAGGGGAGGAGGCCCAGGGGGACAAGGGGGCTGGACATGTTCTGCTTCTTCATCTGGGTGCTGGCCGCTGAAAATTCACAGGGATGTACATTTACGACCACGCATGCTCTCCAGGTACGGCACACCTCCACGAAACATATTTAAAAAGCAATCGTGGGGCGCCTGGGTGGCTCAGTCGTTAAGCGTCTGCCTTCGGCTCAGGTCATGATCCCGGGGTCCTGGGATCGAGCCCCGTGTCGGGCTCCCTGCTCCGCGGGGGGCCTGCTTCTCCCTCTCCCACTCCCCCTGCTTGTGTTCCCTCTCTCGCTGTGTCTCTCTGTCAAATAAATAAAATTAAAAAAAAAATAGCAATCACCTTCGCATATACAAATAAAACCCATTTATTAGCAGATATAATGAAAGCGAAGGCCCCACTTGTGATGACCAAAAACAGAAATCTCCTGGGCAAAAACGGAACAAACCTCCCTACGGCTCCCTACTCTTCAGAAGCGCACGTGCGGGTCCTCAGAGCAGCACCCCTCCTCCAGGCAGCCCTCCGGAGGCCCCGACGCCACAGCTGTGCCTCCTCTGAGCTCCCATGGCTGCACGCACGCAGGCCCGTCTCACCATGTCACCACTGTCCCGTCACAGATGCCCGTCCAGGGGCCAGACCCCCGGGGTCCCAACCGCCAGCACTGCCCGGCCACGCATGCCCCAGACGTGAGCTCAACGGCTCTGTGGGCTTTTAGAATGTGGCCTGAAGCTGAGCGTTTCCTTATTCCAGAACTTTCTAGATTGCTAAATCAAGTTGGAAAACTCCAGGTCACTTGCTGGGGGGGCGGGGGGAGGTTAAAACCAATACACTGTGTGGTGATCTGACAACAGTTAACCAAATTAGAAGGCCGGCTCCCTGCCGCCCAGAAATCCAAGTCTCGAATTTATGCCACAAAGACCAGTTTCCACCACATGAAACTGCTGTTTCTGGAGGTCAGAAGAGGCCACCTCTTAGCAACTTCATATGATTCGAGCCAACATATCCACACGCGGGTGCTAAATGATAAGCAAACAAGGAGATTCACTACGGCACGGTCTCTCCTAGCCAAGGGACAGAGCGCCCCAATGCCAGAAATATCCATAAAGGGGATGGCCAGGAAATGTTATGCTGCGATAGAAAAAAAGACTGGGGAAATTTTCAGTGTACTAAAATACAGAGAGGTACCCCCAGCAACATTACCAAGAGAACAAAAGCAAACTGCAGTTTGTATAGTACCCTTCCTTTCGTATTAGAAGCAGGAGGAAAAATATGAATACCGATGCATTTACAATATTCTGGGCACACACTTTGGCCTTTTTTGCACAAAACAACTCCGGAAAGAGACACAAGAGTTGTACGTAGTTGCAGAAGGAGAATGGACAGAGGGCGTCTTTTTACCTACACTCTTTTGTGCCGAGTCAACAGATTACCCAGCCAAATTAGAAGAAGACATTCAGAGAGAGGAAGCCAGTCTCCCCCACCCCCCAACGAGGGACTGCACAGAGGTACTCACCAGGGCGCGTAGGACGCTGCTATGAAGAAGTAGATTACCATGCGGTCGAACATGTGCAGGCAATGCTCCACCATCCTGGGGCAGAGAAGGGGTAGGGGAAGGGTCAAGGGTAGGGCCCCAGAGCCACACCTCCCCGCCCGCAGGTGCGGAGGGGCCTGGGCTCGGGGCTGACGGGCCTTCGCCCCAGCCACCACCCTTGGGCTTCAGGCTCCCCATCTGGAAGTGCCCAGAGCAGTGGTTTTCAAACCAGGCTCCCCATCCCCCTGGGGGTCCAATGGGGACACCCCACAGGTTTCGCTGAGGACCCCCCTCTCCCTGAAAGGTGAAGGTCTGACACCCACACTCTGCATTTTGGCTTTATGTACTGGGCTTTTCAAAAGAATTCAAATGATGAAATACTTTGATGACTAAAAAAAAGTACAAAACCAATGAACCTATGTGCCCCCGCTAAAGAGCCTCTGGGTCCCGGCATTCTGGTTCAGGTCCAGGTCTGGAGCCCAGCAGGCCTGAGTCCAAACGCCAACCTTACCACTTATGGACTGCATAACCTTGAACCAGCTCCTTACCATCTCTCAGCCTCAGCTCTCTGATCTGTCAAGTGGGGAGGGTACCAGCAGCCTATCACAGGGTGGCCATGAGGTTTAAGTGCATTAGTACTTAACACAGCACGTATCAGGAAGTGCTCAATAAACATTCGCTGTTTTTGTTGTGACCTCATGTTGAGTAGCAAACGGTAGCCCTCAATACGTTTGCCCAGTGTGGCAGCCGACCTCCAAAATGATACCCAAAGAGCCCCACTTTCTGGTATTCACACCCATGCACAGCCCCCTCCCACGATGAATAAGGCAGACACACGTAACCAACAGAGGGCTGCGGAAATGATGGTGAGTGATTTCTAAGGCTCGATCATAAACGATATTAGAGCCTCTGGCTTGTTCTCTTGGAACACTAACTTTGGGAGCAAGGAGACATGTCTGTGGAGCGGTCCATGCGGGAAGCACGGAGCACCTGGTAAAGCATCCAGTACCGACTTGCCAGCTATGTGAGGGAGCCCCCTTGGAAGTGGCCTCTCCAGCCCCAGTCAAGCCTTCAGATGGCGGCAGCCCCGGCCCAGCATCTTGGTTACACCAGAGATCATGAACCAGAACCACACAGCTAATTAAGCTCCTGAATTCCTGATTCTCAGAAGCCTTGAGAGGTAGTCAAGATTTCCCGTTATTTAAAACCTCTGTGACCGGGGCACCTGGGTGGCTCAGTGGGTTGAGCATCTGCTTTTGGCTCAGGTCATAATCTCGGGGTCCTGGGATTGAGCCCCGTGTCAGGCTCCCTACTTTGTGGGGAGCCTGCTTCTCCCTCTGCCTCTGCCTCTCCCCGCGGCTTGTCTTCTCTCTGTCTCTCACTCACTCTCTCAAATAAATAAATAAAATCTCTAAAAAAATAAATAAATAAAACCTCTGTGACTGAGGATAATGTATTACAGAGCAATAGATAACTAATGCAAACTGATTCTGCCCAGCAAACTGCAGCCCTCAGTAAAACTGCCCAGGGATCCTACGTATGGTTTAACCACATGTCCTCCTAGAAATGAAAGTGACAACAACAGTTAGCATGTTTACGGTGTGGGCCATAAGCAGAGCACTGGTCTAAGCAACTTAGGACTTTTTAATCCCACCTAGAAGACAGGTGCTGTTTTTTTCATCCACTATGTGACAGGTGAGGACAGGAAATGCCAGCACAAGCCCACACCACTGGCTAAGCCGGCGCTAAACCCAATGACTGGTTTCTTAGTAAGAAAAAGGGGAGCGAGATCTGGACAAAGAGACACACGGGGAGGAAGGCTGTGTGAAGACACAGGCAGCCCGGAGAAGCAGCTAGAAGCCAAGGAAGACTCGGGCCACCAGGAGCTGGAAGAGGCCAGATCCTCCCCTAGAGACTTTGGAGGGAGCATGGCCCCACTGACCCCTGGATCTCGGCCTTCTGGCCTCCTAAACTACGAGAGAAAGAATTCTGTTGTTTCCAGCCACCCAGACTGGGGTCATTTGCTACGGCAGTCACAAGAAACTCCTACAGCGGGGCGGAACCAAGACCCACGGAGAGGGCAAGAATGGGAAATGGGAATGGGGGCTACAGCAAAGTCACGGGGCTCCTGGGGGAGGGGCGGGGGAGGCTGAAGCTGGAGACGAGGGGTCCCTGCCACTGCTGCAATGGGGCCAAGGCATCCCTCAATGTACGGGGGCCCCAGACTCCCGGGATCAGCTCTGGCTCAGATATGACCAGCTTGGTGATCTTGAGCAAGACCCATCGCCTTCCGAATTTCAGCGTCATCACGTACAAGCCGGGGATTCTACATGCTGCAACGGGGACCAGCCCTGAAGCCTCACGCTGAGTGAGAGAAGCCAGTCACAAAAGGTGGAAACAACCCAAGGATCCGTCCAGGGATGAGGATGAACGGATGCACGTGTGCATGACAATGGAAGATATTCACGGAATGCCTTAAAAAGGAAGTTCTGAGAGGCGCTACAAACTGGTTGGAGCACACTGTACCAAACGAGAGAAGCCAGTCACAAAAGGACAAATACCGTACGACTGCCTTGCGTGAGGTCCCTAGGAAGTAGGATGGTGGGTGCCGGGGGCTGCGGAGGGGATGGGGAGCGAGTGCTCAAAGGGGATGGAGCTTCAGTTCAGGAAGATGAAGAAAGTTCTGGAGATGGGTGGTGGGTGTTAGCACAACAGTGTGAATGTGCTTAATGCCCCTGAACTGGACGCTTAAGACTGACGAAGAGAGTCAATTTATGTTATGGGTATTTACCACAGTGTTTTTAAAAATTAAAAGCAAAGCAAAAATTTAAAAATCCAAGACTACTGCCTATACCGCAGAATTATTGAAAAGATCAGGGGTGACGTCTCTACAGGGCCTGGACCCGGGGAGGCCATTCTGATGGTTACGATGGTCAGGAGGGTCCCTCCCAACAGCACTGGGAGCTGGGGGCTTGCTCTCCGGGCCTCTCGGAGGTGAGCAAACGAGGCTCATGTGGGTGAGGTGGTCTGCCCAGGTGGGATCCAGTCCTGGCCGGCCGGCCGAGGCAAAGACGGCGTGAAGGTCACCACCCTGGTCACTCCGCCCAGCCCCTGCCCCACCCGTGGGCTAGGCAGAGGCACCTGAGGTGGCTCTTCTTCCAGGAGATGGTGTGGAACATGGTGGACACCACGAAGAGCCCACAGAGGCCGAGGCCGTAAATCCAAGCAGAGATGGTCTCCCAGTCGTCGTCGGACAGGAAGTAGAGGTTGGAGCTGCCGAGGATGCTGGGGATGATCCAGAGCTGGAAGCAGAGCGGGGACAGGTGCTGCAGGGCCAGCCTTCAGCGTGGGGGCCAGGGATGTACAGAGCCCCTGAGCTTCCCCGAGCATGCCGCCCACTCTCTTCTCCAGACCCGCGCCATCCAACAGACCCTCCCTCCTTGGCGGGAAAGTCCTAGACCTGCCCCATCCAACATGGGAGCTGCTAGACACCTGTGACTACCGAGCACCTGAATCATGATGGTGGCAATAAAGTGCTGACGTTTTTTATTTTATGTCGTTTTAGTTGATTTTAGTTTCAATTTCAGCAGCTACCCTATCGGGCAGCACGGCTCTGGAGAAGGTCGTGGTAAACACGACGGCTCCCCGCCTCAAGGAGCATCGCCGGTCACCGCCCCCACAGCCAGCCTCGCGGTCCCCGAGCACGCCACACCGCCTCACACCTGTGCACACGTAGTTAGCACCTTCTGGAGAAAGTAGCCCGCCCCACCAGGTCCACCGGGAAAACCCTTCGCTCTCCACGCCTTGGCTGATCCATCATTTCCCCGGGGAAGTCTAGAACTCTCCAAAGCACAGGGGGCAGGGGGTCCCTGAAAGTGTGCCCAGTTCTGTGTGTTGGGAACACTTTTTCAGGAGAAAGGGTTTATGGCAGCCCCAGCCAGTAGAACTATAACGCGAGTCCCACAGGTCATTTTGGGCGTTCTGGGACCCACGTTCTTAAAGGGAAAAACAAACTGGTAAAATTAACGTTAATACTACATTTTGTTCAGCCCGATATATCCAAAACACCATGTAATATGCATAAACATATTAAGGAGCTATTTTACATCCTGTTTTCCGTGCTAAGTCTTCCCAAGTTGGAAGCACGTCTCCAACAGATGAGCTGCATTTCAAGGGCGCAAAAGCCACACGGGGCCAGTGGCTACCCAACTGGACAATGTGGGTCTCGATCTTCCATTATTCCCAAAGGGGCCTACTGCCCAGAGAAGGATCTCTTAGGCGAGGCTGGGGTGGTGTCAGCAAGGACTCCAGGCAGAGGGAGGCAAGGACTCCAGGGCGCTGGAACCTGGGTAGCAGGGAAGGTGGACCAACTTATGAACTAAGGCCTGCCTGGGAGCTTGCTAGCGTCCAGATGCTGTGCCAGGTACCAGGGAGCCAGCGAAGGTTCGCAGAGCAAAAGACAGGCATGCTCAGCACCACAGTCCAATGTCCCCAGATGGCCTTCCCTCCAGATCCTACTCACTCTTCCAAGGGCCACAGAGGACTTGTCGTCTGTTGGGACATCACCACGGAAAAGAGATGCTGACCCTCTCCAAGGGTGAAGAGACTGCCTTCCCTCCCACCTGGAAGTGTCCCCCGCTCGGCCCCCCAAAAGCCAACTCACAGCATGGGTGGCACAGTTAGCTGCATGCTCGTACTCGGTGGGCTGGTACCTCTTGTGGGCAGGGACCCGGTGGTTCATGAACCTGGAATGAGAGGCATAATTCCCGGAAGCTGGGCCAGGAAGCCGGGAGCAGCTGTGTTCACAGGATTCCCAGGAGACCTGAAGATCAGGTCCCTCCTGGTGGGAAAATAAAGGATCCCTCCCCTCCCCTCCCTCCTCTCCTTCCCCTCCCCCAACCAGAGTCCCACTCCCCTCCTCCCT